GAAATGTGCAAGACAGAGTTGAGAAAGACTTGGCCATAGGTGTGAGTGGGGAGAAAGGGAGAGGATGGAGACATGCTTATGACTAAGAGAAAAATATGACCTTCCCTGGCTCCAAATATTTGTTGAAGCTGATTTTGTTCACAGTCTATGCATGGTAGGAAGAGTTCATGGTTCTATAGCCAGCTGAAGAGCTATGACTCAAGTGACAGGTTTTGGAGTGAACTAAGAGATATTCTTATAAAGAGAAGATAGAGTATGAAGTGCTAGGATTACACAAGGGGCCACCCTGTGACTAGTCACTTCCTTTCATATGAGGGACCCTGTCTCCGGGCTTTGTCATACTTGCATTGAAAGTGGTCGCTGTCTCCTGCACCCACTCTTGGTCACAGAAAGATGAAAATTTTCCAGAACTCCTAGGATTTATGAAAACAAACATGAAACTAGAGTTTTAGAGCAGCTTCCAGGCTGGTAAATGATGTTTGCAAGATCAGTTCAAGAAACTGTATATTTATTTATTCATTTGTTTGTCTTTATTCAACTTGGCTTTGTGTCTGTGATTATGTGTGACCTTTGTGTTTCTCCTTTCATAACATCCAGACTCTGTGCTCCAGGAGGATAATTATATCACAGGTCTTTTAACCTGCTGTGTACACTAACATAGAAAATCTTTAATAAAATACATAATTTTTTATTAAAATAAATGAAATTTAAAATGGCCCATGTCTCTTTGTGTGTGTTTTGGTTCTTCTGTTTCTGATTCTGTTGTTATGCCCTGTAATGCCTCATCTAATATGCTAAAATACTTAAGATCACAGCACTTTAACTCAGAGTTCATTGTTTCCTTGTGATCTTGAGAATGAATTCAGGTGGGTCAAAGCTACATCAAAGAAAATTTTTCTTGACTTTTTCTCTCGGACAAATGATCCTGAAATCTGCCATAGAAGACTAAAGTATATTAGGATAACAATGTCTTTTATAAAGACCTCAAATTGGCACATTTAATCAACACACTCAAAAGTTCTTCTCTTCCATTTTTGTTCTTCCTTATCTTGCAGAGATGGGATAAAGAGAACAGAGAAAGAGCTTACTAGAAATACAGGACTAGGAAGGTCAGTTTCTCTTTGATGGAGTGAGTCCTATGAAACATAGCAGAGCTATGAGATCATTATGATCCCAGTTGAATATCTTAGAAGTAGGATAATGGGAAGTTGGGTGGGAAAACTTTTCTAACAGATGAATTTAATTCACTGCCCTGCCTTATATTCACATATGCTTCAATGTACAAGCAAGGTCCTGGGAGTTTCAAAGAAAGCTGGAGCAAAAAGGCCACCCTACCTACCTTTGTGTTTTCTAACTGTGTGTAGTGTTTAAAATGAATTACCTTCCTGGTGACAAGGCTAATACTCAAGTATGGACACAGGATGAGAGACCTTGGTTAAACACTGTTTCTAAGCTCCAAATCCCCAAGGCTAGGAGAAAAAAGGAGGGAGGAGGCAGGAAAGTGCCTTGGGGAAAACCTTCTGCAACAAATGTTCCTTGAAACTTGGCTTCTGGATATGATCTAAAGAGGTGGTATTAGAACCAACACTTTCCCCAGGCTCATCATTTCAAGGTCACATCTATGGCACTGATGAAGAAAAGATTGATGAACAAGAGGTCAGTAAGTTGCTCTGGTATGGCTTTTCCTGGAAGGCTAAGAATAGGTGACAAAGTTGGCAAGTAGGACTGAGTATAGAGTTGGTTTCTTGCAACTTACAGAGAAAAGCTGTACTATGTCAGTCAAGAGATGATGGGGCATGGGAATATATCCCAATTGTTCCCTCTAATACATGGCATCTGAATAATATCCTTGCAGATATTTGTAAGAGTAAAAGCCAATACCATCTATTCCCTCCCTAACAAGCAGATATATTTTATAAGAAAACTACAGAATATTCTTAAGAATAGAGACAGATATCTGTGGTTTTGTTCAGGACTCCAGGATGGGTCTCTTTCTTGATCTCTTCAGCTATTAGAACCAACTTCCCTTTTGCCTCTTGTGTCCCCAACAAGTATTTACTCCTCAACAGCATAAAGGAGGTTCAGAAAGAGGGGGGTGTACTACAATGATATCAAGAGTATAGACTAACAGCAAAATAAAACTTGCAAAACAGATCAGTTTCAGCTTAAAGGAAAGGCAGACTTTGAGGACTTTGATATTAGAAAATCTGCTTTAAATTTTTGCATATTTTTAGCAGTAAGCCCAGTATCCATCAGAAAATAAATGTGCAAATCCTGTAGACTAAAAGGAGAAGAGAGCTTTCCTGTTCACTTCCATTTATGCTGAGGTGTAGCCATTGCAGATTTTAAGAACCTCAAATTCCACACAGACAGGGAGTGATAGAAGATCTGTGTTGGGGTGGAGTGGGTAGTGGAAGGTGGTCACTGATGCTTCAGATAGCACATCCAGAATCAATATTCACTGGAAAGGTCAGAAATTCAGTGTATGTGTATAGGTCAGATGATCAGTGCATGGCTTTTAAAATGTATAAACATTATATACTCAGCATTATAATAACAATCTGGTGATTAAATCAGGTCCACTGAATGTCACATAACAGATGGATAGTGTCATTAGCTATAAATTACATAATCAAAAAATAGAAATCAAGTTAGATCAAGAATTCAGAAGATAAAAGAAAAGTGTACAAAGCAGACAGGGTTTGGAGGGATAAAGGCTGGAAACAACAGGGAAAATGAGGCTAAAAAAAGGCAAATGTAAAGTAGGTTAAATACACATCAGTGGATAGTTCCTCCATGAGCAGACACCTAAAGGAAGAGAGATCCAGAGTATCTTCTTGAAGCCTCCAAATTTCTAGAACAGAATGATTTGTTTGGGAAAATAGCTTTTCTTCAATATGAGAGCACAAGGGCTCCCTAGGGATCAATCTGCCTTATACATTGATAGATATACTTTTCAAGGTCATGAGGCAACAGTCTTAGAAATGGGTCTTTGCAATTTAAAAAGAAAAAAAGCTTAACCAAGACAAGTTAGGTGACGCAAACTTTATTTAACACTTCATGAAATTGAAGTGGACAGTCTCTACTTGGAGAACTGAAAAATGGAGATGAAGGAAGGAAGCTTTTATAGGATAAAGAATAAAGAACAAGGAAGAGAAAAACTGAAAATATCTGATTGGCTGAGGCCACACTGTCAATCTTATTTGGGGTGAGAACACCCAGAGTTGGCTTGGTGTTTGGGGCTTGGCTGACTAGATATACTGTGTTTCTGGTGATGCAGTGATGCTTTTGCAGTGACACAAAAGTTGTCTAAATTTTGGTTTGCCAGTGAGACATCCTAGTATCAGTTATTGATATGGGGAAGTAGAACATTTGTGCGCATTCTATTAAAAAATAGGGAGCATATCCAACATATGCAGGCCATGTTTTGTGTATAATAGGAAACCACTATGTTCCTCTAGTTCTGCCTTCCCTCTCTGCACCTTCTGCCACAGAATTACATACAAAATAACACTGACTAGACCGAAAATAGGGAACTCAGACCCATTCTTGTCAAAAAAGTTTCTTTTTTGTTTTTCTTTTTTTTACATTCTGTTCCTCCTTTTCTGAACTCTCCCAGGAAATGTATGTCCACCCTCACCCCAAAAAGAATTCCAGTGCCTCAGGAGTCAATTGGCCTGGTGGGTACTTACAAAAGTGTTCTGCCCTTTATCTCATCCCTCCCCCAAACACACCAGTAACTTTTCACTAAGTCCTCACTATTCATTTCAGTCACCTTCCTCATAAGACTTCCTGAAATGCCATTATTTTCTACCTCTTCTCTGAACATTTTGACCAAACTGGAAAGATCCAACATATATGAGTGAGAATGATACCAGTCTGCCTCTGCCAGACAGTTAGTATGGCCCTTTACAACAAATGTAACAAAAACAACAACAACAACAACAAAAACCCTTGCTATGCATAGGGTTTTTGCATACTTGGGCAAAAGCTCTTGCTATGCAAGTATCTCACCACCTACAATTCACTCCCAAATGATATTGCACTTAGTCCTCAGAGGGCAAGGCCAAGCTATTTTCATTTACTTTTAGATGAGGCTCATAGGCTGAGAAAATGAAAGAAATTTTCCCAAAATTACAGGGTTAAAAATTGGAGGAGCTGCAACTTCAACTGAGAAGTTGTTTAAAGTCCAGAGGTCCTGGAGGCTTCGTAGAATATTCTTCTTACCATCCATGGTGATACACGGGTATTTCTCTATGTCTTAGTGTCTCCATGTCCTATCCAACACAGATGGAGTTATTTAGAAAGCATAGGTACTTAAGTCCTTTTTCACCTTCCCTGTGGTAAGAGGGCTACCATGCTAGAACTCTTGCATAATTTTTCGAACCAGTAAAACTTCTATAATACAACCATTTGTTACTGTCTTCTGGATTTCTCTAATGACATTGAGTATCAATTATTTCTTCAAACTCATTCTTGCCTTAGGAATTTCTCCTCTGCTCTTCCCTCAAAACAAAATTTTCTCTCCTTTATACCCAACTGCTCCCCATATATGTCAGATGTTGCACACTGTGGGATGTTCTTGACCATGCCAATGTCTGGCCAGATTTAATAAAGGCAGTCACCTATATGCTCCTATAGAATCCTATAAATCTTCTACCATATTTGTAAAATATCAGTGTTATTCCTCTTTTATTCTCTGAATCTATTTTCTGTTATGTTCCAGCAGAACAAGAACCACCTCTACCTTGTGCACTTGCTTCTATATCCTTCTTGTTCAGTATGTTGCCTGGCACATACATAGACACTGAAGTTTAAGTTGTTCATATTTTCCCCCAACTCTAAGATTTTCCTAAGAATACATGCTTTATTTCTTTGATGTTCCTGCCATTCAGGGAAGATCTACACTAAGTGAAAAAGCAGAAGCCATTGAAGGAGAATTTCTGAAGACCAGCACAAACTTTCCTTACAAGAAGCTTTATTCTATTGTCAAGTCCATCATGGAACTCAATACCAGTGCCAGACCCTTTCTTCTAACTGGATTCGTGTGCTTGGAAAAGGCTCACCATTGGATCTCCATTCCATTATCTGCAGTCTACACCTCCATAGTTCTGGGCAATGGTATTCTTATATTTCTCATTAGGGCTGACCATAACCTCCATGAGCCCATGTATTATTTCTTAGCCATGCTGGCAACCACAGATCTGGGGATGACCTTGGTTACAATGCCTACAGTGCTGTGTGTGCTGTGGATGAATCACAGGGAAATTAGTCATGGTGCCTGCTTTCTCCAAGCCTACTTCATTCATAGTCTCTCTGTCACTGAGTCTGGAATTTTGCTAGCCATGTCCTATGATCGGTTCATTGCCATCTGCAACCCACTGAGATATACTTCCATTCTTACCAACACCCAGGTGATAAAGATTGGAATGGGAGTTTTTATGAGGGGATTTGGTCTCATCTTGCCCCCAATATTGCCTCTCTATTGGTTCTCCTATTGTAGATCCCATGTCCTCTCTCATGCATTCTGCCTCCATCAGGATATTATCAAACTAGCCTGTGCTGACATCACCTTCAATCGCCTCTATCCTGTTGTAGTGATGTTTTCTATGGTTTTACTGGACTTCCTGATAATCTTTTGTTCTTATATTTTGATTTTTAAGACTGTCATGTGCATTGCATCTGGAGAAAATAGGTCCAAGGCCCTCAACACTTGTGTTTCCCATATATGCTGCATCTTGGTCTTTTATGTCACTGTCATTGGCTTGACATTTATCCATCGATTTGGGAAGAATGTTCCCCACCTAGTACATATTCTAATGAGCTATGTATATTTCCTTTTCCCTCCTTTTATGAACCCTGTCATTTATAGCATTAAAACTAAACAGATTCGCAGTAGTATACTCCAATTATTCTCTCCACCCCCATCAAGAACATGACATTTACTTTCCCTCTATGGGAAAGAGCTATGAGATTATAAACATGAAAATTTGGCTGGGATAGTTTCCAAAAAAACATTAAATAAATGGTTAAATGTCAGAAAGACATGTGTTTGAGATACAACTGTTTCTTGTTTCACTCCCTTTTTTGTATGACATGAAATAAGCCATGTACTAAGCCATGTAAAACACTAAACACAGTGCAAGGTGCTTATTAGCATTTGCTCAGTTGATATTCATTGTGTATTCAAATACACTCATTCTACTAAAAGTACCAATGGCATGACTTTGAGTTCTGTGGATTGGCCAAACAAACTTTACAGTTTCAGTTCCTGGCTGCTGGTTTTGTTTTTTTGTCATGTCTTGTTTTGTTTTATATTGACTGAACATCCCGGCAACCAATGACTGTTAGCTGTTTTATCCCTTAAGTAAAATTAGTGAATGTTGTCGTCAGTGAAACAGAGAGCCTGTCTGAGCTAATTCCAAATGATTATTAGTGAGCATGGTGCACATGTAAGGCAACTATACATATAAAATATTAATGCACAGTTTTTTCAGAGTATATAAATTAAAATAATGAAATTAATTAATTTCTGGTCAAGAGGAATACTTTTTGTTATAAATTAAATGAGACAATGGTACTCAGAAATTATGTGTAATCAATACAATTTGGTAGTTACAAAACAGTCACAGGGACATAAAATACAATGTAGAGAATATAATCAACAATACTATAATAACTATGTATGGTCCTAGGTGGGTGCTGAAAATATTGGGGGGAATGCTATGGAAAGTGTGTGATTGTCTGATCACTATACTTTATACCTCTATTTCCCTTTGTTGAGAGTTTTTATTATAAATGAGTGCTAGATTTTGTCAAATGCTTTTTTGCATCCTTTGATATGATCATGTGATTTTATCCTTCATTTTGTTTATGTGGCATATCACTTTTATTGATTTGTGTATATTGTACTAAACTTACACCCCTGCAAAAAATTCCTCTTAGTCATGATGTGTGATCTGTTTTGCTAATAAAATAAACTATGAGCAGATGAAGTTCCTGTGTCAGGTTCTCTTATTCAAGCATACATAAGGAGGGAGAGAGGATGAGAGAGAGAGACAAATTTTCTTTGAAGCATTCCTCAAACTATTTGCCTGCCACTAAGTGTCAGGAGACTCCTCAAAGTGAATAGCAAAGTCCCTTGTATACAGTGTCTGCCCATTCCTTCCTGAGCACATATTCTGAGTAAATGGAAGCCAAATTCACAGGACAACTTTTACATCTTTACTAATTTTCCATTGTTGAATTTTTATCTTAGTGCGGTTGTATGAAATGTTAATTTTTAGTGAATGATTTTCAATTATTGTGCTCTCCATGTTTTTCTAACAGTTGCTGAATACACACATGAAGAGAAAGAGAGAGAGAGAGAGAATAGGAGATTATAAGGGTGTTCATTGCTCAGGCAGTTGCTGCTGCTGCTCTCCTTCCCACAGCAGCCCACTCAGTGTGGGGCAAATAAGAGACACTTAATAAAACCAAGTGTATCGATAATAACCTTGAATTTATGTCATGGTTTATCACAGATGCCAAAGAACACTTCTTTTTTTGTTTAGTGAGGTGTTCTGTTGATGTATAGACCACTAAGACCATGAACAGGGCCAGACATTAAAATAAATCTTTATTGCTCTGGCTGGTGTGGCTCAGTGGATTGAGTGTCGGACTGCGACTGGAAGGGTCACTGGTTCAATTCCCAGTTAGGGCACATGCCTGGGTTGCAGGTGAGGTCTCCATTGGGGGGACACAAGAGGCAACCACACATTGATGTTTCTTTCCCTCTCTTTTTTCCTCTTTTCCCCTTGTCTAAAAAAATAAATATATAAATAAAACGTCTAAAAAATACGTCTTTATTATATCATAACTCCATGGAAGTATCTAGTGCACCTGAAGGACTGGTGGTCACTCAACAAAGTTTTAGTGCCTTGAGAACACTGTTATGAGAGTCCCATTGATGTTTGCCAATGGAAACCATGGGGTTAGAATATAGCGTGATGCTACAGACAAAGTATAGTTCCGGACTGGCAATATGTAATCAGAGTTATATGATAAAATGTATTGTGACAAGATGCACATGTATATAGACTAACAGCCCCGTGTATTCTGACTGGTCAGGAAGCAACTAACTTCTCTTTGTGCACAGGAGAGGATTGAATTTTAGTTACCATTAAGAAATCCTTCCATAAAGCACATTCATACATTAAAACATTAATGAGATGCACATGTCTCAGGGCCCTGGGTGAAACTCTGCTACTGGCTTCCTGCCATTCTAGATGTACTGAGGCACTAATGAGACTTAACGTTACAACAAAGCACACCTGACTGCATTCAACACAATCTGATACATTTGCATTATACAGTGATTTTTTAAAAATTGGCTATGACCTTAAAGAGCAGTTGTTATGGTCCAGGCATCACCTCCACTGAAATCAACAATCTCGGTAACGTCATAGATGCTCAATACATGCAGGCTTAATGGCAGGATAAACTGTGTCCCTGGCTATTCTTACAGGGCCTTTGCCTGCCTCTCTGGGGCCCTGAGGTCTCCAACTGTGGCCACAGAGACATGACTGTAAGCTATAGAAAGAAGGCCCCACATCATCACCAGCACTGAGAACCACAGAGTTGAAATACTGGTGGGTGCTATTAGAGGGAGACAGAATCAATCAAGTACCCGTGGAGAAGCCAAGGGGGTCAGTATGTTCATGGTTCAAGGGATAACAGGAGAATGCCTAAGGGCTGTGAACTGCTTGTCAAACTTCCTGCTAAAGATTAGGTTACTTAGAGGTCAGCCTAAGTAGTCAAATAAGAAACAGTGAGTAAGGAGCACAGAACAAACCTTAGGGGGAAAGTGAAAGGTCAGTGAAATAGAGGGAAGGAAGATGAGTGAAGGAAGTATAGGAGACAGAGGAGGGAGAGCCAGGGAGACAGGAGTGAGGATCAGGAAAGGAGCCCGAGAGGAATTCTCTCTGTGGGCAGGATGCTAAAGGAAGAAGAGAAATCAAGGTGTTCCTCTGGGATCCAGTGTCTATGGGATAAAATTTTAAGTTCAGGAAAAGAATTCTTTCTCAGTGAGTAACCCATAGGAGTTCCTGTGCATGCTGGGTTGGGAGGACTACAGTGGGGTGCTAACTGAGCCATGAGACAACAGGCCCATACTTTCCACGCTTCTGAGGACATGAAGTCTTATCTCTTGGTCACAGCCTTATGGTCTCAAACAATTTCCCTCCCAAGCTTTGAAAATACTGCCACCCTGCTCTGCAGTGAATGATCCAGAGAAAAGCCCCCCCTGGAACTGAGCAGAGAATAGTCTCTCAAGGGTCAACATGGTTCAGGGGGAAGAGGAGCTCTGCCGCACACAGGCATGTGACCTGGCAATGTCACTTAACCCTGAGCTTATGTTATTCATTGTTGACTGGAATAAAACCATTTTTAGCAGAAGTTTTTGAAGTTAAAATAAACAGTTATGTTTCTGATGTGCTGGTGAATTAAGAGGGAGAGACTAATATATGCTTTCAAATGTATGCTTTTATTTATGTGTTCTGCCAAAATCTCTTTTTATGGTCCAATGCCTCATGGCCAAATTGCAACCAAGACTAATCATTTCTAGGGGCTTTCTCAATAGTTAGTAAGGAGTCAGAAATTCTTTAAAGTTTTACTTCTACCAAGACAGAGCTACCCCTCTTCCAATTACACCTCTCAAGTAACCCACGCTTCTCTTGGCTTTTTGCTGCCAGCTTACTAAGATTTGTGGTATTCCAACAAATTATTTAACTGGCACAGCACAGGGAATCCAGCTATGACCTCTCTAGTTTTTTATAGACCTATTGTGATGTGCTTCTCACTACACAGGCTAGTGCAGTCATTTTATAGCTTCCACTTAGTAGCTGTGCTGTTTGACAAATCATGTAGTCTTTCTGTGTTCTGTTTTGCTCAACTTTAAATGGGGATACTAATAGTATCTACATTACTGAATCATTTTAATAACTAAAGGTATTAATACATGTAATACACTTAATAGGCCCTGGCCCATGGTATATACCATTGAGTTTTTACTTGTTGTTGTTGCTGCTTTTAGACATGTTTGTACAAATGGAATGATTTGGCATTTAAAATGGGAAGGTTCTGGCCTACCAAAGAAAGTGAGAACTCCATAAAAATAAGCACAATGCTTGGTAGTATACAAGATATTATAATAGAAAGACCTGCATTCTCTTTTTACTTGGACTCGGTGAGAAAGCAAAAAAATGGTTGAGGTTTTAGTTCTACTATTCAAAGAAGATTTGGGAATTCTCAGAGATAGTGACTTAAGATGCTATGCTTAGCAACTGGCAAACATATGGATAGAGGCAGTGGTGACTTACTTCTATAGGCCAAAGTGTTTTGGGAAGTAAAATGTCTCATGGGGATTTAGAGGCAGTTTATTTGTGGGTGTTTGAAGCCACTACTCAGAAGCTATGTGGACTACATTTTTTTCATAATCCTTCTGAAATTGGACATTGATTCACCAACATTTACTGAGTCTCTTTGAAGGAGAATTTGTGCTACAGTCTTTGAGCTATGAAAATATATGTGGCTGAACTTGTAGGATCAACGTTAGATATATAAGGAGGGTGAAATCTTTTAGAGTAGGCATTCACTGATTCACATATTGGCAAGAGTCCAACATGATAGAAGATGTGTATTAGCATGGGTGCAAGAAGGTAGACACACAATGATGGTCTAATAAATATTGATTAAAATTATTCCTAATAGTAGAAATCAATTAGCAGTAGTATTTTAATATCCACTATGTGCCAAATGCAGCACTATTAGATTTTATATTCATTATTCCTCGGTAAAACCCTGTAAGTCAGATTATTTTCTTATTTTTACTAATAAAAATATCTGGTAATTTGAGAAAATTTTCAAGATCATGTAACTAGTAAATAATTAAGCATGATTT